GGCGCAGGGCGTCGTGCGCGCGCCGCACCTCCGCGGCGGCGAGCCACACGCGGAAGAGGTCGCCCTGCTCGTCCTGCAGGAGCAGGAAGTAGTCCTTCGCGACGGTGGCCACGGCGTGGTGGAGGATGGCGGGGTCGTAGCGCGTCTCCGTGAAGCTCACGCGGCGCGGGAGGGGGTAGACGCACTTGAAGATGTCCCCCCCCCCGGGCTCCGCCGCCGAGGAGGACAGCAGGTCGTACCAGACGAGATCGGCGTCGGTGCAGACCAACACCCCGCCAGGGCCACACGGCGCGGCCGGGACGCTGATCAGCCGGTGCGCCGTCGGGGGGAGGCTCACGAGGTGGATCCGCTGCACCTGGCGAAGGCTCGGCACGTAGGCGTAGACCAGCATGAATTTCCGGCAAACCGCGGCCCCTTCGCCGCCGCCGCCGTGGGAGGCCGCCCCGGGGGCGGAGGGAAGTTTGAGAAAGGCCCCCCCGGACGCGATCGACGCGTCGGGCTTCGCCTCCGGGTCCTCCTGCTCGTGCTGCTCCTCAACATCCTCGATGATCTCCTGCTCCAACGCGGCGAACACGACGTTCTCGTCTATGAACCCCTCCAAGGTGCATACCGAGTGGATCACCGTGTTTCGGTGGGTTTCAATGGGATAGCCAAAGGCGATCACCCCTTTAGGGGTCTCCACTCGTTTCTTCATCGCCTTCTTCTCGTGCTCAAGGGAGAGGTATTTTCTCGCGGCGCCGTCCTCGTCTGGGGCTCCATCCCCTGTTGAATCAAACCGACTCAGGTCATCATTCGCCTTGCCCTCGGCGTCGTCGAAGGATGCGTTGTCGCCACCGCGTAGTTGTAGCGCGGTCGCCGAAAGCTTGAGGTTGGTACGTTTTAGCGGGATCACAATTTTATTTCGCATGAGGGCCGTGATAAACAGCGCCTCGCCGCGGCTGTCAACGGCCATTCGGGCGCCGGGAACCGTCAGACGCGCCCCGCTGCGCCCTAGGCAGTGCTCGCTGACCTTAATAAACCGTCCCCGCAGAGACGTGGTGATGTACAACCCCGCATTTTCGTCGCCGCCCGTGCTTTTCGCGTCAGCACTTGCCGTTGGCAGGCGGGCCGGGATGGGGGGCTCGGCGAGCTCGTAGCGAAGAAGCGTCAAATACCCGGACTCGCTCGTGATCGCGAGGTAGTGCACGAGATCCCGCTGGGCACCCTCCATCATCGAGGATTGCGCGCCGAGGATTGAACTGGGCTGATCCGAGAGAACGCCCCGGTCGTGTTTGCCTCGCGAGGACGCATTCGCGCCCGACAAGAGCGAGCCCGCGGCGGAGCCGTACGTGGCGTTTGCCGGCACTGCCACCGCGGCGTAGACGTTCGAGAACAAGGGAACGCTGTGCAGGCACTCCATATTGCTTTTCTCCACCCGCAGCGTCCACAGCTCGAGAGAGGTCTGCCGGATGATCACAAGGTCCTGCGAGTTCGGCAGGCTAAAGGAGCCCTGGACGGTGTGCGTGATGTTCTGCGTAGAGATAATGGTCTGGTGGTAGACCAACGTTCCATTCTCGGCAGCCCGGCTTCCGCCCTGTGGGGGACGCTGTACTGGAAGAGAACTTGCCGAAGTTGGCATCGATACGCTCATTTTTCGTTCGGCACGTGGAGGGTTACCGTTTAGTTATCTTCTAAGATTATTTTAAGGATCAATGAGATGGCTGTGATATCACTGGTTTGATCTTTTTTCTTTGTGATCTCCAATAAAAATATTTTCTACAGACGAATGATAGTGAAGATAATAATTGAGAAATGAAAATTTAAAAGGGAAGCAGCCAAATAAAGTATTACCATTTTTTTCTCAAAAATTAAAGTTCGATGGGCGTAGGAAAATAAATATTTTTCACCTTTCCCCTTCGCTGAATTGGATAGTAAACTCAATAAGTGTCACAAATGGAATAAAAACAAAGGATACTAAGTTAAACAGTTGCACTTTAAGCTGAATCGCTTTCCTTTAGTAATTTCATCTTTGTTTTACCCTCGAGGCGGCAAAATCTGAAGCTAGAAAATTTAATTGTTAATTAAGGTGTTTTTGTACCCTTAACCATACAAAAAAAAACCTTTCGAAATGATTAACTAACCACGTTTCACACTTAACAATCAACTATTAATGGATTGAAAAGCCTAGTAGATATGCACCTTCGCCTCACAGGGTCCCATCCAGCCTCAAATTGAACAGCCGAAGTGGCTTCTCTACTTCACCTTCGCAGAACCATCATCAGTAACCCCAATAGCCCCCTCCAAATTTTTTCAAAAAAAAGAGAAGTAAGAACAATCTCTCACCAGTAGATCGCTTAGAGCAGCTACGGCACAACACGTGAAGGCTGGTGGGGGGGTACCGTATCCCACGACTCAGGGTAGCGTGGCCGTAAACGAGAGCCGTACTCCTCCTCGTAGGTCGCCCTATTATTCGGCCCGTCCACCGCGGGCAAAGGCCCGACCGCGGAGGGAAATTGAAGCTCATCCCGCAGCTCCTGCATCCGCTCCGGCGAGGTGGCCTGTCGAGGCCTGCGTAGCTGCTCCTGCAGGACATAATTCCCCCCCTGCGGGGACCCCCCGTCGTCGTCGTCGGTGGTGCCCAAGACGTCCGAGCCGAGGAGGTCGCGCCGGTTGACGTAGCTGGGCCTGGCGTAGGTCTTGAGGGTGTAGTAGGGCAGCCGGAGGATGGCCTCGTTGATCTCCACCACATCCCGTTTGAGCCACTGGTCCTGGCGAGCCCGGACTGGGAGCACATGAAGGAGCTCGCGCCATGCCGTCCGATAGCGCAGTAACTTCACCGATCCCCTAAACATAATACGAATAATACTAATAATATAAATAATATTTAGACTATTTTTTATAAAGAGGTAATGGCTATGGATTTCGCCTGAGATGGGGAGCCCTCGAACCGTAGAGCCGCTTAGCCCAACTCGCGCCTTCGTCCCCTACACCTAACTTTGCTTAACCAGTACGAAAATCCCCTTGGTGCTATTATTTTTTTTAGCGTCAATACATTTGAGGAAGAAAAAAGAGAAGTTCAATTCATATAATTCGGTGAGCACTGAAGTGCAAGTCCATATGAAGATCAAGGGCGCCCCTCTGGTGCCTTTTTCGTCAAGAACTCTTCTTATGAACTCCTTAAAAAGCCTTCGTAAATAAAAGCAGTAAACAAATTCTAACATTATATTTTGTTTGCTTTCACCAAATGAAATGGGTAAAGCATACGTGCATATGTCATGCATCAGATTTGTTATTCGAAAAATGTCTATTCCAGATTGTGTAGAGGGGGTGATAAAGGCAAAGAGACCATTAGAGATAAACATTCGATATAGATAGCAGGAAAAATACTTGCTATATATATAATCTTTTCTATTTATTGTTTGAATTGCACGACAAAAGTTTAGGGGAAAAATCAACCAAAAATGTCCATATCCGTTTAGGCCATATCACAACAAAGAAAAAATATGTCAAGCAGAGCACCTCAACACCATTTTCAATATGTTCTGATCAAAGTTAAAGAAAAAGATTGCAACGTAACTACTAGTATCTTTATTGCTATTTTCGCTACATGCATGCGCCTTTTCTTAAATTTGGCGTCTTAAAAATAAAAGAATAGAGGGCTATTGAAACGAAAAGGAAAGATGAAAAACGGTATTAAAATTGTTCTAACTATGAGGTACATGCAAAAAAAATAAAAAAAATATTATACACTGCCATCTTCGGGGACTATATGACGCCCCTCAAAAATTTTCTTACCTTTTGAAGATTGTACAACTCTAAAAGGAGAAAAATAACTCTAATAATAAATTTCCCTTATTTTTGCCCCTCACACCTTTCATCTACCGTCGAATCGGACGAATTCCTTTTGGTTTCGCAACCGTATTCGCACATTTCGGGATATGACGTTTAGCGACCTCCTCCGCGAACTTCCGCCCGCAGTGAGGGCAGGGCACGCGATCGTCAAACTCCGGCGGCAATGATGGCGGTATGCGTCCTCCATACCCCCCCTTTCCACCCCCTCCTTTGCCGTTATAATTACCATTTCCACCTCCCAACGGCTCGTCGCCTTTTTGTTGATGGACCGCGCGCATGGCGGCCTGGAATTGCTCGTGTTGGATTCGCCATTTCGGGATCTTCCCCGCGTTCGACAGGGCCGCCGCGTGGTGGTGCCGCTGCGTGGCGTGGCTATTATTGGCCGGGACGCCCAGCCGGACCTGATCCATCCCCTCCACCCCCTCCAAGCGTTGGGCCCTCATGTTAAAGACCTTTCGCGGTTTATTCGTTTGCTTTCGGCATAGCGGCTCATGCCGGGGGAGAACCGAAACGCGGAAGGTGCGGCCGCAGATCCCGCACTCGCGCGTGGGCTCCCGCGCCGCCACCGAGGCCTCGGCCGCGATGAGGTCGTTTCCACCGCCCCGCCCCTCCCCGGCGGTGGCGAGTGGATGGCCATTACTATTGCTGTTTAACAACGCGGCGATGCGCCCGCCGGCGTCCTTCCGCTTCGACCCCGGCGCTCCTTTGAAGGGGACGCCATTCCTCGCCCCATTCGGGTGGATCGCCATCTCGTCGAGGGTCGCGGGGGAGGCTGGGGTGGGGCCATTCCCGCCCCACCGCGCGCCCTCCTCGAGCCCCCCGCCCTCCCTCTCCTCATTACTCCGCTCGGAGGGCGAAGTGGGGTAGGAGGGATAGGAGGGTGCGTGGTAGGGGGGCTGGGTGGGGGGTTTGCCGCCCCCAGGGGCCTGGGATTTCACCGGAGCCCCCGCCTTCTGAATCGCCACCCGGGCGGCCAGCGATTTGGACAAAACGGCGGTGGGTGCCGATGTTTTCGGGCTGGCCTCTTTCAGCCCGCCTCCCGCCTCGTCAAATCGCTCAATACTCACATCTGAATTCCAGTCCGGCTTGTTTTTGGTGTTGGGATTATTTGACGTCAACTTGGATTTGACGGCGCCCACCCCCTTGCCGTAGGGGCCGCGAAAATCCATCCCCTCCTCCGCCTCCGCCTCCTCCTCCTCCTCCTCCTCTTCGGGGATAGAAGGGGAAGGTGGCTTGTTGAAAGGCCCATCTAGGACATCTTCTTCATTGCCGTAATAATGATTGGCGGGGGGATGGCGCGAGTTCGTTTCCTCTGCACGGGCACGTTGCTTTAAATGCGCGGCCTGTGGCTCCTGCCGTAGCTGCTCTTGTTGTTCTTTAAAGTACGCGATGCTCTGGCGAAGTGACTCCATGGAGATACTTCCACCGAAAGGAAACTTGCCCTCGACCTGTTTTTCGCTCCCTTGGGGATACTTTTTCGTTGAATGGCAAGAACCCCGCCGGTTTAGCGAGGAATCGGCGTCCGATGGGCTGGTTTGGGAGCTGGAAAGCGCTAGCAGGCTCGCTACGGTAGTGGAAAAGCAACCGGTGTTGAGGCTTTCCCGGCTGGAAGGGGCCACGCGAATGAGCTGATTTGACAGCATCGCCCACAGCTGCCGGGCCTGATCCGGGGTGATAATCCCCGCCTTGGTGGCCTCCTTAAAGTCGTCCTCCATGACCTGCAGGACGACCGAAGTTGAGGCCAATTTATCCGCCTCGACCTTCTCGACCCCGCTCGCCGTGGGGGAGGGTTTCGACCCCATCGCCGGCGCGCCCCAGTTCTCCTTGTTTTTAACGCCCAAGCTAACTCCCCCCCCTCCCGCGGCCCCCCGCATGCTCTGCTGATAAATGCGATCTTCGCGGATTTTTTTCGCCAAGTCCATCTGAATTTGTCGTTTCGTCGCGTACTCCTGGACGAAGTCCGTTGCCGGCGTTCGCTGCTGTTGTTGGGCTCCGGATTTCATCAATGCAAAACACACACTCTCACTCACACACAGAGGAAAAGGAAAAAGCCTATAATAATAGAAAAAAAGTCAAATAATAATGGTTTACAGATTTAATAATGTATTAAAGAAGAGTACGTACGGAACCTTCAGCCCTTTTATTGTTGAGCAAACGAAATCTATTTTTTATTTTTAAAAACACTCTATGAGGAAACTTTGCAGAATACCTATATTTTAGAATACTGAAGCGGGAGAAAGTTACTTTTGGGAAGACAACAGTTGAGGCGTGTTCAGTTTAAACCAGGAAAGAAGAAATTTATGATAATACTTCACCAGTGCAAAAATGGTATAAATGTAAACAAATAAATAATTACATGCCTAAGGAAGTGATTATAGAAAAACAATATTATAATAAAATGGTTTAATAATTTTGTAAAATTTGATATTATGCATATGTGTGAAAATATATGTATATGAAGGAAGTAATCAATAGGATTGGGTCATGATAATTCGTTTTTTGTTGCTAATTATTTAGAATATATTTTACTATCAAACAACATGGTTTCGCCAAATCGATAGTATTTCTTAAAGGTACGCCTCCTTTGAACTTATGTATCGTAGTGCCACAAACTAAGTAAACGTCATTTATTGTAAATTACTTTAGAAACATATATATATATATATTGCGCTATTTATATGAAATACTTCACTTGAACCCGAATATATGTCAAAAAGTCGCTCAAACCCATCACAACTTCACCAATAAATTTCGGAAATCAAAAGATGTTGATTCCTGAAGAGAACAGCTTGGATAAAATTTTAGTAGCACCAATACAAAAATAACGCTAACTACTATAAAGAAGCAAACAATGCAGTGCGCATAAAATTGAGCATCAATATCACCTTAGCCTGGAGGATTTCGCTCATTTTGTGTGTGGTTTTGTATAGAAAGAGGGGATGGGATTCAAAAGATCTATAGAACACTAAAAAAAAACACCTGTATCGCGTTTCCCTGTGCGGTGATTGGCGCCATATCTAATCATTTGCTTAGAGGCCAACGCTCCACACGGATCCTTCCTAGTTTCTTATTAATTGAAGAATGGAAATGAATGTGCAAATGTCGGAAAATATGCTTTGAGCTTCACACACAAAGTTAAAAGAATAGCCTTCTAAAAGATGATCCAGTCAGCATACAGTCTCTAGGATAGATTTACCTGGATTCAAACTCCAAATCTTCAGCGAAAGGAGAACAAGGAGAAAAGTCCAGACGAAAAAATCTAAACCGTTTGGGGATCAAGTATTACACCTGTGCAAGTGCCTTTAATATATGGAGATTCTGTGGTTGTATACTCATCATGGATACACTACTGTAGATAAAGTTAAAATGAGTTTAACTTTTCTAATAACTAAAACGATGCAAAACTAAGCTAATAGAATAATATCAACATAAGTCAAAAAGTGAAAAAGAGCAATGCTCATTTGCACTTGAAATAATGGGGAAAAGGATGCTTACCAAATATCAAGCACAAAATGAAGTTCTGGCTTAAACAGAGAATGAAGACAAGAATCGGAATTTTAAATGTAGTAATTATCCACATATTAACATAAAGTAAGTTAACGTTGTGTTTTTTTATGTAGTTTCAACGAATGAATATCTCCTTGCAGGGAAAATAAAGCTTACTCAATACTCAGGAGACAATAATAAATTAATAAATTGGATTTTTTTTCCTCATTAATATGCCAAATATATTAATAATAAAGTCTCCAAGTTTCTTGTTCCTAATTTACTAAAGTAAACTAAAATAAGTATATATTATCGCGTAGCGCGTTTACGGAGCATACCGGGGGTACTTCTTCGCCAGCAACGGCGCCATACGCTCCTTCGTTTCCTTGCTGAGATGCTCTGGGGCCGTGACAATGGCATTCTCAAGCGAATGATGCGCGGGATCGTCGTAAAGATTCCCCTCCATCGCGTTAAGAATCGCCGTTGGCAGACTCTCCGCTTTCTCGGTATTCGCCGCCATTACCTTAATAATCCCCTCCAACCCGACGTGCGGGACGTCATACCAGGAATCCATATCCGTAACCATCGCAACAATGCTGTACGCGATCTCCGCCTCCCGTGCGAGCTTTGCTTCGGGAAAAGAAGTCATTCCGATAAGATTCCCGCCGGATTGTTTGTTAAAAAGAGATTCCGCCTTTGTGCTGAAGGCAGGCCCTTCCATCACCACCAAAGTGGCCGAGGAATGCACGCGGAAGGCTTCGGACGAGGCTTCCCCCGCCGCTCCCGCATCATCGCCGACAAATTGAGCCTTATCCTGCGTGAAACACGTCTTCATGGAGTTGTAAATAATTTTCGAAAAAATGTCAGAGGTCGGGCTGCGAAATTCGATGTGAGCGACAATGCCATTGCCGAAAAAGGTGGATTCACGCTTTACCGTGCGGTCGATAAGCTGACTGACGAGAGCGAGATCGCCAGGGCGGTAGTTCGCGTCAAGTGAACCGACGGTGTTAACCGCAGTGATATACCGCACGCCGAGTTGCTTCATCGCGCAGATATTCGCGCGATAATTCACCTCAGAGGGAAGAAAAGTGTGGTGGAGGCCGTGGCGAGCAAGAAAGGCGCACCAGACACCCTCGATTTTCGCCACACAGATCGGACAGCTCGGCTTGCCAAAGGGCGTATCCATCTCATAGTAGTACGGATCCTGCATACATTTGAGCTTATACACACCACTGCCGCCAATAAAACCAAAGAGGATGGGCTCCGGATGAGGGCTGGCGTACTTCATCATTATAGTGAAATAAAAGAATAAATAAAACTTAGAGTTTAGTAAAGGGAAAACAAAGGCGTTGTTTGGACGATACTTGGAAAGCTTGAAATATTTTGAATGAAATGGTTTGAGATGATGCGGAAAACAACTGCAGTAAGTCCATGATCTACCGTTCCACCAAAAAGTTGAGGCATCAAATGGGAGAATGATCTTAATATGTTTATTTAAATTATTTATTTATTTTACACGACGTTATACACACAAGTATTTATGTTCTTATCCTAATTTACGCGATCTCGGTTCGACAAATTGTGTTATCCACATATTGCTTCCTTTACAGTTCTAACAAAACATGCAAACAGCAATAGACAATACCAATAATAAAATTATATCCCTACAACATTAATTGTTACGATTATCCTTTTTACAGCTATGTGCGCCAGCAATAACAGAAAAAAAAGGGGGGGGTAAACTAAATTGCATGCAAATGTCTGTATGTGCATGTGTATGTCATTCAATGCTTGCGCAAATCCCGTATATGCTCCTCTTTGTAATCTAAAAACCCATCCAGATTCTCCGCTATTTCCTGCCACTGCTCCAGATCATCCGGTTCCACCGCGTCTTGATAATTGTGCTTCCAAAACTTGTTAATCATTAAACGTTGCTTGATATACTCGCGAAGCTGTGAGAGAAAACTAGAGAGATTTTTATGAATCCCCTCCGGGACGTACACGTCCTTATCAAAGCGCTCATCAAGGAAAAAATCCATCAACGTGTTTGCTGCCTCCGCGCGCACGCTGACGATACTATCCACGGTGAAGAGCTTCTGTTGCCACACTTTTCGCTCCGTAGGATTTGTAATAAGAGTCTTTCCCGACAACAAAACCCCGCCATCAAGCTGAAGAAGCGAAGAAGTGGATCCAACGCTGCGATCGCTCTCATATCTCGTTAAAATCGTGATCGCAAAGCGTGCTCCGACCAAAGTCGCCTCCACTTCCCTGAACGACGTGCAGAGCAGTCCTACCGTACCCACACAAGCCTGCGTTAACGACGGCATCACACAGAGCGAAGACGCATACTCCCCTGATTTTCCTGCGCTTGGGGCCTTCGCCTCCCGCCGCTCCCAGGCAAGACGAATGAAGAGGTCAACCTCTCTCTTTTCCGTGCGAAGGCGCTCGTTGGAGCTGTGCAGGACGCCGCCCTGGGTTCTCGCCTGCTTCCGTTGGAGCGTCCACAGCATCTGCACGAGCGATTCGAGTTGTATCCAAAGCAGATGACGTGCCGACGAGGACTCCGCCGCGATGTTCGACGGCTGTAGGGATGAACCCCCCTCCTCCTCTGCGGCTATATCCTCCTCACACAGATTATCAATATTAGTAGTTGTATTCGCGGCGACAAGGAGACCGTAGCGCTGCTCGACAGCGCGGAGGATCGCCCACCAGACCCTCGTGGGATCGCCTAGGCTCTCCACGGGCACCATCAAAAGCAGCACGCTCGCGGTCCCCCAGACGACGACCTCTATGGACAAGATGAGAAACTGCAGGGTGGTGACCTCCGCGTTGGACTGGGCTGCCTCCCGCAGGAGGTGGAGCTCTCGTCGCCGCACAACATCCTCGTTTCGCTCCCCTTGAGTGGGTGTGCCTCCCCTCTCCAGTCCAAGAATGTCCTGGAGGAGCAAGCCGAAGACGTGGAGGCCGCCGCTCTCGCGAAGGAGGGCCGCGTGCGGGTTCCGCGCGAAGGCTACGTCGTCGTCGAGCCCGGGGTCAGGGGGGTTTCCCCTGCACAGGGCCTCCGTCAACGCCTGGAAGGCCCGCATCGCGGCGAGGGCGCAGCGCAGGCGGCCTGTCACAAGTCCCACCCCGGCCGTGCGACAGGCCTCGTCCGGCAGGCCCCCCTCCCTCCTCTCTCTCGAAGGAGGGCCGTCCGCGAGGAGGAGGGGAAGGGCCCCCCGCCAAAGCCGGAGGGGGAGAGCCCCCTGCAGGACTCCTGTCAGGGTCGGGAGGACGCGGCGGATCAGCTCCGGCCCCGGGCGGGCCTGGAGGAGGGCGCCCTGCAGGGCGAGAGTCATCTGTAAGAGCTGACCGTGGAGGCAGTGCCAGGTGAGGGACAGGGCAGTCGTAGGGGTGGAACTCCCCATGAGGGAAGGGCCCTCCGGGGCCCCCTCCCACCACCCCCGCAGCTGCGCGGCCTCGACAACTTGCTCTAAAAAAACCACCTGCGAGGCCGAGAGGGAAGAGCCAGCGGGGGAGGTTGGCAAACCACCGTCATCTTGCCCGAGAAAGGTTGCCATGGTGGCATTGCCAGGACTGAGGGCGTAGAAGACATCTGCCGTGGCGCTGGCGATTGACGCTAGACGCTTCGTTTCCTCTTGCTTGAAGGTTCGAAAGGCCAGCATCATGGGATGGATTGTCACGGCGTCGGAACGCGGCACCTCAGGGGGCAAAACGCTGCCATCATTTCCAGGAAAGGCTCCCTGAGAAAGGGAAGTGAAATTGGAAAAATAACCTGCTGGGTGGTGGAGGTTCTCCCACGCGGTACTCGCACTTCCTTCGAGAATTTCTAGCAGCAGATGAAGAGTCTCGGGCAGTGAAAAGACCTCCGTGATACACAAACATCCATTTACCCTCTTAAGAGCGGTAGTAAAATCTGTGGTGTTTGATGTGGTTGCCTCAAGTGAAACCGTAAGAAGCCGTAAAATTTCCTCCAGAAGCGCTAACAAGAGCAAATAATTTCTACTCTGATTATTCTTCTGTTTCTTATTGTGAACTTGATGAGGAAAGGTAAAATTCCCCTGTCCAACAGTTAAAGGTGGCTCCACTCTATTGTTTTTGTTGTTATCCTTGTTGTTGCCGTTTTCATTCTCATCATCGTTATCAAGCATACAATCATGAGGGTCGATACCTTGATGCGCTTCTTTTACACATAAATACACATTTCGTAAAAGATCACCAAGTAGCCTGGCGAAATCAGTAATAGGTGGCAAAAGCACTGAAGCTACACAACTATTGCATTCAGAAGAATCTCCAGAAGTTAAAAGATCAAGCACCTCATCTTCTTGGCTGTTAGTGATAAGATTACGGAGCGTTTCGGCAACAGCGATCTGCGTATAGATCACATCCCTCTGGAGGCTCGAAGTAGATAATTGAGAACTTTCGCCGTTAAGCACCGAAGATGGAAAAAAAAGAAGCCGAGAGAGGTGTAAGGGAACCTTGGCTTGAAGAAAGTTTGCGTGATGCTTAGGCCGCAAGGCAAAATAACATATATCTCGACAAGCTTCCTCCAATTCTGCCCAATCCGTGGATTGGAGCTTTTGAACACAGACTGGCAGCGAAGAAAGATTAAGCGGTGATGACTGTCCCTTTTGCCGAGAAGCACTAACGGCTTCAGAAAGATTCTTATTGTCACTACAATTTAAATAGCGTCTACGTTTTTGTTTTGGCTTAGATCGAGAACCCATGGGAGAGTTTTTATATTTATCTTCTTTAAGTACCTTGATAATAAACGTATAAGTCACATAAAAAAATCTGTAGGAAAACAACGAGTTTGAGATAGTAATAAATTAGGTTCGAATGACGCAAAAAAACAAACCTTTTAGGAAATTTTATTAGCGATAAAAATAAGTAATTACATAAGAGATCAAAAATAAAAATAAAAAAAATGGATTGTATAAACTGCTTGTGACGGTAATAAAATCCTTCAAATAAATTTGAATATCTTGGGGATTAAAATATTTGCTACAACCCTTATCAAGATACCATGTCAGATAATACTACTAAGAATAAGAACCACTTTTATGTATTAACATTTACCTTCTTAATGTTGTAATTCTGAATATTATTGAATTCATTTATAAAATCGGGTATTCCCTATGTATTACACTATCATGACATTGAAAAACACATGATACAAGAGATAAAATATATGTAGGGATAAAAGAGGAATACCGATATTGTGCTTGATAGAATTTATTAAAAAACTGATTTAACATTTTAAAAAAGTGAAAAATCTATATATTTATTTACCTGTTATAATATGATAGTTGAAACCCCAGCCCTAACAGCCTCCCGCGCGTAAGGAATGTAGGAGAGAAAATACCACCACATTGTCAGATGTTGAATTAATAAAAATAAAAGCACCAAAATTCCACTTTTGGTTTCAATCGCCACGATAAACGTAAGCAGCATTGCCAATAAATAAACGATGGTGGCGATCCAACGATTCCGGTTAAACATATTTTTAAACTGATAAACTGGTCCGGCAAGAAATAGAGTGCTTCCTATACCACAAATACTATTGAGCGTAAAAAAGATCGCGAAAATGGGAAAATCTCCGACAAAAATGGCAACGCAGCAGATAATAGAGAACACCGAAATGAAATTTATGAAAATGATAAAACCAATCACACGTGCTTTAAAGCTAAGAGAAGGGCAAACTGAGTTATTCTCCGTCGCCATTTCGCCTGTAAGGGAGCCAATATTGAGTACATTATTTAATACTTGCATCTT